ATATATATATATATTAAATACTAATAATAATTAAATATAATATATTTTTAAAATTGATTTGATGGTTTGTGAATTTTAAACTCATCTCAATTCCCAACACATTCAACACCTTCCTATAATGGGTGCCATTAACACCCAATTTAAAAGATGCTTTCATCTCCCTTTGAAGAAAAATTAAAAAACCAAAAAAGGCATACAAAATTAAATTAAATATAAATAAAATAATAACAAACACGTGCACCGTCCTCATTTCCATTTTCAATTTAATTTTGGCAATAAAAAAGGAAAAACCCTTTTTTTTTTTGGTGACTAAGATTGTTTATTTAAAATAATTTATGTTTTTCTATAAAAATGTTTATTAATTTATTATAAGTCAAAATAGTTTAACTTTTTCAAAAATTCCTTATTACCGGTTTGACACCGGTATAAGTTGTTTATCCAAACACTAAAAAATGCTTATTACGGTGTCACACCGAAATAAGTCAATAAATTATTTTTATAAGCAATCCCAAACACCCCCCTCAATATCAACACAAATTATGTAAGCATTAATCAAAGAAATGCTAACCAGATAAATAAAATTGTTGATACTTATCGAGATAACATCTCGATCAGCAACATGTCTAGGTCAAAGATTATGAGCAAACAATATTGTTCTTACAGGATTTACACCACTAAGTGTCGTTACTTAATATGTTAAGAGTTGGTTTAAACTTTTAAGTTTTATGACATAACAAATAAGTCAAAACCCCGATATTTCAACTAAAACTGATTTTTGTAGTTTCAAAAAACGTCTACAACTTTTGGCAGTTTCATTTGTTTTTGTGTTCCTAGCGGCATGACTCAGTTCCTTAAAATCCGTTATTGCATGGATCTTCTTTCGATGATGCCACATAATTCTTACAAGTAAACATAATGTTTAACGAGAGAGTCTAACCTCACAATTTTGGTAAAGACAACCTCTTGCAACTCAACCTTATAGTTTCATATATCAAGAAATATAATTTACACAACTGATCCCATTATTTACAAAAGACTATATTACAGGAGGTTGAAAATAACAAATAAAAAAGTATAAGGTCTAAACCAAAAATTATAATTCGGGTAAAAGTTGAAAATTTAATTGCATTGTTTTAAATGTAGTTTTCCTTTTTACTTTTGTTTTTTTAGGGAGTGTTTAAGATTGCTTATAAAAACAACTTATTGATTTATTTTGGTATGGTATCGGTAATAAGCATTTTTGAGTGTTTGGATAAACAACTTATCTCGATGTCAAACCGGTAATAAGAAGTTTTTGAAAAAGTTAAACTCTTCTGACTGATAATAAATTAATAAATGCTTTTATAAAAAAACATAAGTTGTTTCAAAGACCATTGGTCACTCTTGAAGATCTGTTTAATTCACTCATTATAAGAGTTCGTGTGTAAAATCATTTATTATAAGCTATTAAAAATATTATTATATTAAAAGTTTGTTGGAAATTATAATCTCATATAATATTTTACATAACTTGTTAAAAAAATAATTGTTTTATATAAAATTTATTATTATAT